ACAGCAGGCTGTCCACACCTGAGGAACTGCCAAGCAAAGACTCACAGCCTTGGCCAGCCGCTGGAAAATAACTAAAAATGCTAGTAATGTGTCCGTCCCTTCTCTTCTGCCATCTTGTTGTTCTTTGCGAAGCATCTCACCCAGTTCTAACTTACCTGCACGCCTTCCAAGTGTCTGCCCTGATTAAAATAAATAAATAACTGCAGGCAGCCCTGAGTTATGGCTGCAGGCAGCCCGCTCCCCTCAAGATGAGTGCACTTGGTAACTAACTTTGTTGAATTTTGTGGCCTGGACGTAAGACGCAAGCATGTGTTACCTTTAGGAGGCTGGCGTAACCTGTAAGAGCTATTTACACTACAATGGATTCTTACTCAGATTTCTACCTTTACAGTTTGACAAAGGTTTAAAAAGGGAATGTCCACAACTGCAGGATATTTTATTAAAACAATTTAGAGCAAACAAAGAGAAAGCAGAATCAATCACAAAAAAATCCAAATGACTTGAATTATACTTAATTAATAATTAATGTGCTCGGAGATAATGATGATTTTGTTCTAAACTTTGGGAGGAGATACACTTTTATCTGTGTTCAGTCCTGAGTGCAAATTCAAATTCTCTATAATCAAACGACAAAATACCAAATCTGTTTGCAGGTTTGCAGTTTGGGCAGCGGTTGATCTCTCTGACGTCTCTGCTGTAAACTTTTACATCTGATCTTCTGAACTGAACATTTCAGAGGATAAGAGGAAGAACCCCGTTTCCCGTTCCTGCATTATCTCCTTTTAATCCAGTTACGTACAAATACTTTCTTTGCTTTCTGTCTTAGAAACTCTGGTTGTTTATCATTTGTTGTCTTTAAAATAATTGGATTATATTTTTTATTTATTACATTGGTTAACCTTATACCCGATTATATTCAGCTTACTTCTCCTTTAACATGTTAATCAGACTTGTGCTTTGATGGATATCTTTGGTTAAGAATAATGAGGATTTGCTATTAGTAAAAACACAGAGTGTTTCTTTTATTTTTAAATCCTGTCCTGGCTCGCTGCTTTTGCAATCAGAATTATTATCTGAATGTTTTTGAGGATCCATAAATTTTCCA